AGAAGCTTGCACCCTAGGAGAAACCATCAGTTTTTTTGGAAAGCATTCAAGAACAATTTCAGTTATTTGGAAACTTTACCAAATTAGCACACAAAGGTCCGATTCCACAAGAGTTTTTACGATGAAAAGTGAGATAGTTGTCATGTGTTTCCTCTATTGGAACAATGTAACACAAATGTTCCCATCTTACTTCTCACCGTGAAAACTCTTGTAGAATTGGACCCCAGATCATGTTTTTCGAAGCTTCCAGAACTCTCAATCCTGTCAAGTTCTTGAATTAAGAATATGATTTCCAAATGTTTCGGCCGGTATTCTTAATCTGCAAGAGGTATGTTTCTTCACTGAAAAGCTGTTGCCCTGGTTCTCTTACCTTGGGGGAACGCTGCAATCAATATTGCGTCATAATGTTAGTAATTAGCTAAAGTGCAAGTATTGAAATTCGGTTCCTGAATCAGAATTCCATGAAAAAGGAAGGTAAGAAGATTTTTCTTGCCACTGATTTTTTAAAGGGTAGTTCGATGGTGTCGGAGTATTCTCCGAGTGGTCGGTTTTTCCAGACATATCAATCTGCTCTAGAAACATTAATGTGACGGCCGCAACTTTTAGGAAACCAAACATTCATAGGATTTTGTGGAACAGGTTCATGACGAATGATTGAATTAGGGAGAAAATTATTCGGGTGAAGTACTGGGCTAGGGTTTCTGGGTCGAAATATTGATCCTATTGGAGGTGCATCTGATTTTAAAGAAGGCAGTCAATTCACAGTTGATTAATTAAATCAACAATGATAGAAGGGGCTACCCCTAGGGGAAATTATCAGTTTTGTAGGAGAGCATTCAAGAATAAGTCCTGGAAATTCTGATTCTTGTCAAGTTCTTGAATTGACAAATTTTTCAATTTTTTCGACCAGTGTTCTTGATCTGCCAATTATATTTCTTCATTGAAAGGCTTTCGATGTAGATTCCATAAGTTATGAGAACGTTGAAATCAATATTCTGCTATAGAGTTGGTAATTGGATGAAGTGCAAGTATTGAAATTGGGTTACTAAAGCAGAATTCGATGGAAGAGGAAGATGATAACATTTCTCGTGCCACTGATTTCTTGAAGAGGTATACCGATGGTATCGGAGTCTACACAGTGATGGTTTGATATTCCAGGTATATCAACCTTTGCTGAAGAAACATTGATGTGACGACAACAAGTTTTGGGGAGACAGACATTCAGGGGTCTGGTAGAACAGGTATAGGGGCAAATGATTTTAATAAGCAGACAAGTATTAAGATCAAACATTGGAATTGAGTTTTTGAACTGAGGTAGTCATCTTATTGGAAGTGCACCTGATTTTGAAGAAATGAGACAATCAATTTTCCGTGAATTAATTGTATCAACAATGATGAAAGAAGCTAGTTGTTTTAGAAATAACCATTAGAAGTCTAAATCTTGTCAAGTTTTCGAATTGAGAAGTTGGTTTCTAAATTCTTCAGCTGGTATTCTTGATCTGGAAATTTTGTTTCTTCATTAGAACTTTTCCCTGCTAGTTTCTTTGCCTTAAGAGAACACAGAAATCAATAGTCAGGTTCATATTTGAACCACACGTTAGTAATAATCTTAATCCTTCCATCGGGGAATTCTAGTGAGAAATCAATTTCTGAAAATCACTTCTTGTAACATTACACTTAGGAAAGAAACGTGATCGTGTGAACTTTGATGGAGATGTTGTATAGGTTAGACACTCAAGATATTGACAAAAAACAGAAGCCATTTACTTTAAACTATGGAAAATCTATCCCCGGCGTGATATCTTCGATTGATTTTCGAATTCCTCTAAAAAAAATTTGACCGCCATTACGAGTCAAGCAACGCGACAACACCACACAACAGCTGATCGAGGTCGGTAAAGTCGGTGACGATAATTCAGTGCTGGAAGCATATGGATACGTATAACACACACGGACATTCATCTCACTGTTACAACCCCGCTACTAGCCGAAGCGTGCGATATTGCCCGATCAAAATGCGACTATTACCACCGCAGTCGCAATTCCTCCATTATTTATCAACATTTTCTTTAATTATTGTTTTTGAGACTGGAAAAGTACGTCATAACACTTCTAATTTGATAAGACAAATAATTAGTAACATGAATGATTTATTTAGTCCATTTTATTTTTTATTTCAACTGAGTTGTCCACTTGATAGTTTAAATATCTTTAAATGAAGTGCAAGTATTGGAATTGCGTCAGTGATTTAGAACTCGGTGGAAAAATAATATAAGAGGACGTTGCTTCTCCGGAAATCTTAGCTTGAAAAACATTGATTTGACAACAGCGAGTTTTAAGGAGATAAACTTTAATAGTGTTTGGTAGAACAAGTTTGAAGACAAGTAATTGAATTAGAGACAGAATTCGACCCGGACATTCTCACGTTTCTCTACATCTTCATTATAAATTCAATGATCAAAAGCTTGTGTTGTATAATGCCGAGAGAAAGCTTCTTCGTGCAGTAAGAATTTTGATAATTCTATTCTCACATCTCACCATATAATTCCCTCCGCAAAATCAGTTTCTGGTACAAACATAACACTGAGATGACTACCATATATACCATTAAAACGTTGAGAGACAGTGAAATGACGCGACTATGTGACATGGTAGCTTGAGGAGCAAGAAACTAAGCTCGTCTAATCTCCCTGGGACCGAAAACCCAAAGCCCGGGAGTGAGAAGAAGGTATTCCGAGAGCTCATCAAGCACGTTTATATATTCATGAAGCAGTTGGGGTTGGTCTCTCCTACGGGCATAGGCTTTTACTACGGTAGAGGACCTCTTTTCATACAGAAAAAAGTTGGAAAAAGTCTGAAGGTTTCTTTAGTCTGTGTGTGCATGTCTTGATGGTGAAGCCACCATTGCTGAAAAAGGAAGGGCAACGGGATGAAAGTTGCAACCTTTGGTCTAGACACCGGTGGTTCGATGCCCTACGGAGGCGACATCCGATGGACAAAACAGCTGATTTTGTGATTCACTTGTAGAAGAATTAGTTTTGGTCAATTTGAGCCTTTGGAAACTGTTTCGGGAGGAGAAAGCTCAATCAAGTTTTATTTCGAGGATTTGATGGGGATCGATTGAGAAATTGGGTCTCTGAGCTCAGGTACAGCTGTCTTTGGAGATTCTTCTGAATTTTCCAGACATTCGGGACGTGTTTAGAAAAGAAAGAAGCTTGATCAAGTAGATTTCTGATCGATACATTGATTTTATTGGAGCTTTAGGAAAAGCTTGAGGAAAATTATTAATACATGTTCGAAAGTCTTTGCAAGTGGTAAAGAAATCTAGAAGCAGTGAAAATGGAAACCCTTTGAAGTTTATATTGAGAGACTTGAAATCAATACTCAGCTTCAATTTTGGTAATTTTATGATGAGTATTGACATTAAGTTACTGGATTGAAATATTGATCTCGTTGAAGATTCCCTTCATTCATTTAGATCAATAATAACGAAGGAAGGTAGCTTCCTAAGTTCAACAATTACCCTTGTTATAGATTATGTAAGAATAATTATCCGCGCTTAGAAATTCGACCAAATTGAAGAGGGAGATTTTGCCGGAAGTCCCTTTCAATCGTTTGGACAATTTTCTCGTAGAAAACATCGAGACATCGTTGAAAGTCTTTGAAAACTCTCAACCGCCCTCATTCCATTAAAAGGTTTCAAAACATCGAGAACCATTGAGAGTAGAAACCCATTAGAGTATATCCTAAGGCTCTCCCGCGCTTCTGTTTCCTTGTCTTAAATGCTAAAATCAATATCCATCTTCAGGGCTGATAATTACATGAAGAGCATTGTAATTGGGTTTCTGGGTTGAGATATCGATTCCATTGAAGATTCTCTTGATTTCGAAAGTAGAAGACTTGATCAACTAACAGTTGATCAATTTGATCAACAATAACTAAAAAAGTTAGCTCTCTATACATAAAGCAACTATCGCCTCCACGACCTCCGGATCATATCCATGATATAAAATGCAAAAAAATCAGTAGAAGTAGGAGTTTTTCAAATCACTGTCGAGTATCTATCTTATTTAACAGATTTTTTATTTCATAGAGAATTTTTCTCCAATCCTTATTCGATTCAGAAATATTTCTTTCACATAAATTCACCCAATGGCCATTGAGTTGGACATTTCTGACTTTTTTTCTTCATTTCTTTGTACTTTTCAACTATTTCTACTCTTCAGTAAGAATTAAACAGCACTTTTCCTTGGCGCAGTTTTTTTTACAAAACTTTATGCTTTTGTTTTTTAAGATCAACATTTCCAGTCAAAATTCCAACCAATCTTCTTGATCTCATTAATTAAAATTGTGTGTACTCTATGACTCATGCAGAGCATAATGACCCATCACACTCCACAGTCTCCGACCCAGAAAGCCATCAAAACTATCCCGAACAATTGGTCATAGAACCCCAATTCCTTAAACTGTATCGTAAAAAACTTTACTCCCTCTGTCTCCTTTCATTTACCAAACTCCAAGATCGATATTCCGTGGCGTTGAGTCTATCTTCGTAAAGTTGGTGAACGCACACACCTAAAATTCACCTCCACTTCCTCTTTCCTATCCAACGCCACTATCTCTCTCACTCGTTACCAATCTAAAACTTTATCAATAGGCAAACAGCTCGTCTCTCAAAGTTGGGAGGGACGAAGGGGGAGAGGTTTAAACTATAAACGACACGCTGACTCACTGGAAATGGTCGTCTATAGCCCACTAAATGAAACAGATGTGCCACATTCAGTACAGTTGTGATGCATACAGCAGTTTGGGCCAGTTTTGCTTGCTCACTCTGTCTCTTTCTCTCTGTGAGATAATCCTCGACCGTTGTAACTTTATTGCCAGCTTTTACCGATACACCATTTGGATATTGATATAACGGACTTTTTTTTTGCAACGTTCCAATCCAAAGAAAATGATCGAAGTTTGCAGATGATTTATTTTGGTTTTTCGTATTGCAGAGAATATGTTTGCACCGACTTTTAAGGCATCATCTGCCAAAAAAGGTAATTTTTTTGTGTGTTGTGTGATGTGGATTATTTGATTGATGGGTTCTTTTGGAAAACGCTTTAGGATACTGCATTGGCTTTTTGTGTTTAATGATGTTTAAATTGGATGGGATGTGATTGACGGAGAATTCTACATATTGTGAGAGAAGTCAAGAATATTGTTTGGACTAAATATCAAACATGAGTGCATTTCCTTCTCCAGTCGCAGTATTGATTATCGCGGGGACTTTGTGTCTCTTTTGATGTTCACAGAGACGAAACGTGACATGTATGCATTATGAATCACAGAATGGAGTTGAGCATTGGTTATTATGAGGTACCGGAGAAGGCTATTTGAAGAGGCTTAAGCAGGCTTTGGCAGAAATGAAGGAGTCGTTTTTCTTCGACATTAACTTTCATAATATTCTATCCATATGCAGTTTCTCCACAATATCTTCCCTCGTGAGATGATTTTCTTGTGATATTGATGAGCATGACCCCGAGTAATGTTTCCATAAATGTCAAAAGATTACTCGTAATGTGGTACAATATCCCACTCAATAATTCCACACGGAAATTTCTCTATTCTGGTAATTTCTTAATTATTATTTAGTGTATAGATTGACTGTTGAAATTTTTTTGAAAATTATGTAATAGTTGCACTTGAACTCTCAATGTGGCAAATTTGAATTCAATTTAAGATCAAATCGTTCATGAAATCTTTCGTTCAGTTGGAAAATTCAGAATAATTGGGTTTTCAATGTTAGATTATCAGTGATGTTTCAATGACATCTAGAATTTTCAATATATTTAATAATTTTCATTATCATGTGGCCCTGAAAATTACAATTCTATTGAATACTTCCGAATTCAACTGATTTTTCAATAACAAAATACATGAACTTTCTGTGTAAAAACACATTTATTTAATATAAACAAAACTACGAATAAAAATTTTTTTGAATTGGAAAAAAACTTCATTTGGTACTATTTAAATAAACTTACTCATTTGATTCAAATAAATAATTTTTCTGGGTGTAAATGGTTGTGAAATCTCTGAGGGTATTTACTCACGAACTATTACATGACTGAATAAATTCCGACTTGTAGAGGGGAGGGTAGGGCAAAATGGACCACTGGCAGAAAATAGGTAATTTTTTTTCTTTCCTTCAAATCAGGAACACTGAATGTATTGAAAAGTGAGTTCCTTGGATCGTAACCGTCACAGGTGTTTTATAGAGAACAAGTGTCGTTGAACCGCAATTTGATCAGATTTGCTAATCACCACAAACCACAAATGACTTCGAATTTGCTCCATTCGGAACCAAAAACAAAAATTATCAATTTTCTGTCACTGGTCCGTTTTGTCCTAAGGGTCTGTTTTGCCCTACCCTCCCCTATATAAATTGTATACATCACCCCGCCACAATATATTCCGGAAGTCCGAGACTTCTGTATTCGAAAGTGACGTTTTTATAATTCAGATTATTGTTTGCACTGATAAATCATTGGGTTTGATATATAAATAATAAAAATTTATTTTGGGTCATGTATCACATTATCGATTACTCGATTGTTGAATTGTTTGGAAAATGCTTTCAGATACTCTATTATAGTACATTAGAGTACAAGGGCACAAATTTCGTTTCCAACGAATGTGTGTACAGACCTCGTCTTCGGCTCGGCCTGTAAACTACACATTCGTTGAAAACGAAATTTATTACCGAGTGCTCTATAATATTTTATGTCAAGTCGTGCAGAAGTCGAGTTTTGAGCAGGCTGCGAGAAGCGCAGCGTGCGATAAACTCGACTTATTGCACGGCGCGACATAAACACTATTAAGTGGTCGCAGCTCCTCACCGAAAAAAAAAGTTGAACAAAAAAAATGTATTCCACGTCCACAGATAATTGTGAACTTTCAATGAATAGGAAATGGGGGTATGGAACCAAAATAGTTGTCAGATAATCCAAGAACTCGATTCGAAAAAGTGCAAAATTATGAAATGTTGAGGTTAAACATGGGGATTTTTAGCGACTCGCATTTTCAGAAGATTTTAATGATTCATTGGCGTAAGTCTGGACCGAAAAAAGATGTTGATGTGTTCCATATAGTTGAAAGTAGGACTCTATAGCATATTTCAGGGTGAGTGCCATGGGGTTTTTTACTCACGTGGAGTTGGCATCCGAGCCGAAGGCGAGGACTGGCCAACCACGCGAGTAAAAAAACCCCATGACACTAGCCGTGAACGACATTTTTCCGTAGTGATGTTCTCTTTTACGAGTTTGGGGAAGGGCTAGTACCAATCCCCGGACGAGGAAAAGTGAAGATCAATACGGAAAATTTTTTACGGATATTTCATTCACGACGATTTTATGTGAAAAGAAAATTTAAAAAACAGCGGGGATTCCCTCATTATGTCGACAACTTGCGGGTTAACTGTGTGTATTTCATGATTTTCCTTTGTTGTTGAATTCTATAAGTCACCATTAATGGAGAATTCTCAATATTCGGGGAAAAGAGCATGAAAGAAACTATATTATTTGCCGGAATATCAAACATCGATGCATTTCCATATCCGAGTTACTGCATTGAGAAACGCGGGGGCTTCGTTTTCCTTTTGATGTTCACAGAAGCGAAATGTAATATGATGAATGCATTATAAATCACATAATGGAGCTGTGCATTGGTTATTACAAGGTTTAGCGGAAGGTTACCTGAAGAACCTTATGTAAGCTCTGGCAAAGAGGAACGAGTCGGTTTGAAATCAAAATGTAACATTTTCCAGGTTAATATTTGAGTCACACATTAGTGACAATCTTAATCCTTCCATCGGGGCATTCTAGTGAGAAATTAATTTCTGAAAATCACTTCTTGTAACATTACGCTTAGGGAAGAAAAAAACCATAAGCCATTTACTTTAGACTATGGAGAATCTATCGCCGGCAAGAACAAGTAGGGATCGGGCCATATAGGCGTGATATCTTGGATTAATTTTCGAATTTCTCTAAAAAAATTTGACCGCCGTTACCGAGGGGCTATTCACAGGCGAATTGGGGACACCACGATTACAAAATGTAATCGATTACCCAGGATTACGGGACTGATTGCACTGATTACCATTGCCTATGTGATACCCGTGATTACCGAGAGCACAGAATGTGATTACATCATTACAAATGATTCCGTCGATTACATTCTGTGATTACCAAACATCTGTAATCATTGAAATCACAATAAAATGGGCTCTTATTTAATATGAACCGATGGAATAATTAATTATTAGAACCGGCAAAGAAATGAGGAAGGAGGTGCGGGGATTAGAACAGAGGAATGTAATCTCCATCACTCCATCTAAAAATTTGGGCATTCATAAGTGCTATCACCAAAATAAATTTACTGAATACCTAATATTGATGGAGAATGAAACTTACCAGCAGATAATTCAGAGATAATTCAGTCGTTGGTTCTCCAGAATAAGAAGAAATTTTAACTCTTTTGGATCAATTTTCTATGGACAAATGCTCTGTGCAAAACGCATTGGCTATGCAAGATTCTGAACCATAAACATCTGGGGTTCCAAGAAAAATTGATCCAGGGATTTCTGAGACTTACCATTGGTAGAAATGACGCGCTCGAAAATTCAAAAACGAATATCACGGTCTCACTAGGAGCAACTACAAAAGATTGCACTGATTACAAATATGGTAACAAATTACAAATATGGTAATGATGTTATTACAATGATTACATTGATTTCACTGGGATTAGAATTGATTACATCAGCGAATGACACCACGGTTGCGCCTGTAAATAGCCCTTCGGCCATTACGAGTCGAGCAACGTGGCAACACCACACAACAGCTGATTGAGGTCGGTAAAGTCGGTGGCGATAATTCAGTGCTGGGAGCATATGCACACGTATAACACATACAAACATTCATCTTACTGTCACAACCCCACTACTAGCCGAAGCGTGCGATGTTGCCCGATCAAAATTCGACTGTTACCACTGCAGTCACAAGTCCTCCATTATCTATGAACATTCTCTTAATTTATTGTTTTTGAGACCGGAAAAGTACGCCATAACACTTCTAATTTACTGAGGAAAATAATTGGTAACATGAATGATTTATTTAGTCAATTTTATTTTTATTTTCAACTGAGTTCTCCACTTGATAGGTTAAACATTCTTAACGTTTATGATATTCTATTCATGTACTATATCTCCATAATATCTTTCCTCGTGAGCTGATTTTCTTGTATCATTTATTAACGTAACCCCAATTCATATTTGAGTTAATGTTAAATAGCTTTTAATAAGCGATTCGTTCCATTACCTTCATACACGATGAATTCGGTCTAGGTATCGTTTCAATGACATTAATTATTTAGTTTCAGACCAAGTTTATCAAATATTCCAGCACTTCAGAAATGTTCCACCTCATACTCATATTTTACAACAGATTTTCAATTATTCTCCTCGTTGTTACATGTTAATGTGCCACCACTAGCCAAGTGCATGATTTAATTTTCTACCTTAGAGTACAATTTCAAAAGAATAATGGCCTCATTGTTAATTGAATCTACCAATTGTGGTCACTCGAAATAGAGCTGGCATAATCCCGTCGAGTTCGTGCTCCAGAAATTTCACACTGCCCTCCCTGCACGGTAATGCTGGGACCCTCGTGTGTTTGTGTGGTTTTCGCCAATTAAATTTACCGTGTTACTACAACACTTGATGTTCCATGATTAGAAATCGTAATTTTTCAAATACTTGGTAACTACCAGATGCTCGGTCTCTCGGGTGTTTGTGTTCAATATAGCCTTGGGATTTATACGTTGGAGTTATTTTTTGACGTACATTTTTCGGGGATTCAAGGGGGCCTATTTTTGCTCAATGCTTTAATAAATCCGCATAATTGTGTAATCATCTCTCAAAATACCCGCAGAAGAAGTTTATTTATGAAAAAACAATTTAATGATCTCAGTGAGATAATCATCAGAGTTTTCAATTTCA